TTGGTCACGGAGGCCCACGGCGCGGCGGGCGACCGCGCCTTGTGGCGCGCCCCGCCGGGCCGCGCAGGACGGCGGGCGTCGGGCCCAACTCGACGGGGCATGCAGGGGTGGGAACCGTCGTCAGTTAGTCGTTCCTCGAGCAGTTTGACGCGGGCCCAGCCTGGGCTGTCATCTGGAGGGGCCGCGCTGCCAGGCTCTCTCTCTTCCGGGGGGATTCGGGGGCCCTGGGCGCCGCGGTCGCTTGCTCCCGCGCGGGGGCGCAGCTCGCTGATATTGGCATCTACGGCGCGCGCCCTCTCGGGCGCGCCAGGTGCGCGAACTTCGCGGGGCTCCGCGCCTGTTTTCGCGCTCGGCCAGCAGACCGACTGACGCCGTCCAGGAGCGCCCAATCGGCGCCGGAGGGGGCTTCAATCAGGGCGCGAATTACCTACCCCGCCTTCGCTTCCAGGCATAACCAAGTCACGCTACGCGCCTCCTCGTCAAGCGGCCTGACCAGTGCAGGCCGTACCTGGTATCCCTTGGAAGCGAGAGTGGTCAAAAGCGAGGTAGGTCCGTTTGTTTCCTATTCACAACGCCGCAGAGGAGACGGGCAGGCAGTCCCTGACCACCGCGCGCTGCCCAAGGTGAGGAGCGGCACTTCCGCTCGTTGCTGGGGGCCCCCATGCGGCCCGATCGAAATGCGCCAGAAACAGTGCGTGCGCGCCAGCGCCCGTTCTCGGGTGGGCCGCGCCAATCTGAACCAGCGCGCCGCGGAGCAGCTGGGCCGTCACATGTCCAATTGCGCGCTTGTTTGGATGATGGCTCATCGGTCGGCGTTCGTCTCCTTTCAGTCATCGCGGTGGCTGCCCGATCATCGGCGCCGCATTGATGATCGAGCTATGCGTCGTGATGATTTTGAGCGCGAGGTCAATTTAGAGCACGGCGAGCGGCTCCCAGTCCACCCCGAGCATGGCGGCATCCAGAGGCTCACCCGGAAGCGGCGCGGCAGGTTGGCCGCAATTTGGTGCGCGACTGGGCTGGCCGCCCGTGCGCGGACGCGCTGGGGGGCCGTCTTGGGGGCGCGCTCCGCTTCATTTGGGCCTTCGAGCGCGGTTGGGCAGGGCGGGCCTCGAGCTGCCTGCGCCGGTGCCACCGCGCCCGGGAGCCCATCTCCAACCCGCGCGACTTCGAGGGCAACGTCGCGGCGGAGCTCGCGCAGATACAAGGACGTCGAGCTCGCCAGGGGCCATGCCATGCCCAGGGCGAGCTGGGCAAGCCCCGCGCAGACCTCGCTGGCGGCCACGGGCATCAAGCTGCCCGAGCGCGCCCCCGCAACGCGAGCCTCATCTTCAGGCTCCAGCCTGGCCGCTTCGCGACGGCGCGCGCTGTCGCGGGCTGGGCGGGGCGCAAAGGGCAGCGCCCGCGGGCGCGGCGGAGGCCCGGCAGGGGCACTGGGCCAAGGCCTCCAGCAATAATAGAATCTACGACGCTAAATTGGAAGACGACGGGGACCACCGCCCATCAGATCATGTGGCCCCGTTCTCGAGCAGGAGCGTCGCCCTCAGGTAGACGTCGCATCCAGTCCGCGATCCGCGCGTCCAAGAACTCGCCCCCAGGTCCGGGCGGGATCCCGTTCCTAGCGCGGCGGAGGATCGAGAAGCTCGCAGCGGACGCGCTGCGCGAGACTTTCAACGACATCTACGGGGGGCGCGGAGCCAGCGGACTCGCGGAACGCGGCCAAGATTTCAAGCGCAGATTGTTTTCTTCATTCCGAAGGCCCCCCCCGCGAGGACTGCGCAGGACGAGGTCCCCCACGCCGTGAACAAGGCGCGCCCGCCCAACGTGACCAACGCGGACAACCGCTTGCTGGCCAACGCATCGCGGCTGGTCATCGAGGACGCCGTGGCCGACATGACCCCCTTTTCAGAGGGGATGTCTGCCTGGGCGTTCCGTGCTCTCGAACGTCGTGGGCGTCGACGACGGCGTGGTCGCATTGCTGGGCCAACTCCGAGTCGGCGGCGAAATCTTTCGACTTCGAGGCGGCCTTCCCGCCCATCGAGCACGGCTTCTTGCTTCGCTTGCTCCGCCTGGCCCGCGCGGCCGATGCGATTCGTCGGGGCACTTCGCCGAGGCAACTTCTGCGATGCCGTGCTGAAGGGGGCGCGCTGCTCTGTTTTCGAGCCTTCGCACGGGGTGCGCCAGGGGTGGCCGCTCTCGCCGTTGCTGCGCGACGTCGCGTCGGACCTGCTCTTGCGTCGACAACTGCGACTCGCCCCCGCGGCCATGGCGGGCGCGTGCGCGGACGACCTGGTCGCGACGGCGGCCGGGCGCCCCCGGGAACACTGGGCGCCGCGCCATTTGTTCGCGGAGTGCGCCGGGATTTGCGGTGCGAGGCTTACCTTCTGTAAGTTAGTGCGTCGTTGTCCCGCTGTACTCCTACGCCGCGCGCGACCTTCGCGCCGCCGTCGCCGCGCGCGCGCGCCGGCGCCTGGCGCGATGGCCGTCGCGAACCCAGCGAAATACATCGGCTGAAAGTTGGGGCCCCAGGGCCGGCGACGACTCCTGGCTGGCACCGCTGGCAGAGGCGGTGGACAGAGCTGCGACAGGGGGCGCCTTCGGCCCAGCGATCTTTGACACCTGCGAGGCATGTCGGATCTTCGTCGCCTCGGTCGTGGTGCTCGTCGCCCAGCGCCGCCCCTTGCTGGGTGCTTTCGCGACCGCAGAGGCACGGGCCTGCTCCAAGCTATTTCTTGGTCCGAGCAATTGGACCACTCCGGCTCTCATGGCCCGTCGCAAGCGCGTCGGCTTCCATCGCGAGCTGCTGGGCATCCGCTGGCCCGCGCTCGCCACGCAGGCCAGGGTCGCCCACGTATGCGAGGACCTCCGTCAAGGAGGGCTCTGCGTTCGGGGGCGTCCGCGGCGACTTCGCGATCTCATGCTGAGCGACGACGCGAGGGGAGTTTTGTCACCCGAAGTGGATGATTGGCTACGGTCCAACACTGTCTTCGCTTTGGCACGCCAGCGCGGACCCCCCCCCCCCGCGCAGGCGGCTTCGATCGGGCACAAGCTTCTAATCAAATCGGCCTGGCAGGCCGCGCGGACCCGGGCGCTGCTTGCGTCCAGGCCCAGGGGCCACGTGGAAGTGCAGGTCCGCCGGAAGCGGGACGTCTGGGACGTGGAGATGCCCGACGGGTGCTGCGTGAGACACTTCCTGGCCCGCATGCAAAAGCTTGGTAAGGCCGTTCCCCCGTTCGCCTCTTTTGGAGGTTGGCTCATGGCCAGGCATTTCCAGCAGCGGCCGCCCTGTACTTTCGGGTGCGCTTTAGGCAGCGACTGCAGTGAACACTACGCGCACTGCGGCTTCTACCACAGATGTCACGCAACACGCTGTGCTCTTGCCCGTCTGGTTTCTACGCGCTGCCCGCAACATTGTTTGGCCCTCGACGCTTCGGTGGGCTCGGACTGGGCAGGCGACGCGCGTGCGAATGCAGCATTCGCGTGCGAATGCGAGTCCAACTCAGCATTCGGAATGCTGAGTTGGATTTGCTTCGTGCGTGCTGTGCGCGCGCGCTCTGCAAGGCGTTCCTCGCTTTCGGCATCGCGCCATCGACGGCTCTGACGCCAGCTCCTGTGTCGTGGCTGCGCTCACAGAGGGGTGCAAGAACGAGCCTCTGAGCCGCTTGTGCCATCGTTTGCGGACCCGCGGGCGAGGATATTCTGGCGCGGGCGTGGAAGTCTGGAGGTGGAGCCTTCTTCCTCCTCCTCCTCCTCCTCCTCCTCCTCCTCCTCCTCCTCCTCCTTCTCCTCCTCCACCCCCCCGTCCCTCCGCCTCTGTGTCCCACCTCGGCGGAACACAACCGCACTTTTTTGGGGGAGCGTTCTCCTCGGCAGTGGCGGAAAACGCGCCCCAAGCACTGCGTCTGTGGCAAGTGTTTGAATTATTGCTGCACGCGTGTTCACTGAATTCATAGTCGTGCTTTTCTATCGTGGGCGAGCGGTCGGGCCAGAGCGCGCCGCATTGGCGCCGCCTGCGATGCGCGGCCACGATCCTGGCCCCAGGCGCAACTTCTCTCGGACAGCGTTGGAGGTCGCAGTTTGGCTGCAAGTTCGATGGGTTTCTATCCCCCGTCCCTTCTCTTTTCTCCCGCGCTCGCCTCTTGGAGGCAGAGCTCCGGCTAGCCCCTCTGGGTTGCGGCGGCTCTTCGCCTCCTTATCTGGTCTCCCCCTCGCTCTCCCCAGTTCGTGCAGTGAGCGTGGGCATTATCGTCCAGGACAGCGGCATTCTCGGCGATGCCAACATTTGGCTGGCGTTTCCCCTGGGTTTTTTCCTCCTTCCCTTCCTCGCCCCCCTCCCGCAGCCGCTCGGCTGGCGGCAAGCTGTGTCCCCGACGATTCTCTCTCCTCTCTCTGGGCGCTGTGTGAGTGACCGTCGGGAATTGCCACCGCGAAGGTTCCATGATTTTGCTGGCGCGTCGAATGTTGCATAGTCTCTGTCGTTATTCTGCTGTGCTACTCTCCTGCTGCTGCTGCTGCTCCTCCGCCTCCTCCGGCGTTGAGCTTTCACGGTGGTGCGTCATGTTTCTTTAGTTCCGCTTCTTTGGCAATGTGTCGCGTCACGTGCCAGTTCGCCTTTAGTCCAGTTTGTTCCATGGTTAGCTGATGATGCGACTGGGCGGTTCGTGTCATTTTGGGCGTGCAGTTTGCGTGGTGATTCACAGAACTTCTTACGGTAACCTTTATGTTTGCATGTTTCTGAGGCCACGTTTACAACGCAATGGATGGGCCCCGTGTGTTCCCCCTTGTTCCTCTCCTCCCCTCATCCTCCTCCCTTCTCTTCTTCTCGCTGGTGCTTTTTTACTTTTGGGATGTCGTTGTAAATAAGCCGCTGGTCAGCTTCCGCCGCGAAGCGCCACGGAATGCACGTGTTGCTCGAGAGATGTTGCAGCCGTCCCCCCCCCTCAACAAAAAAATCATCGAAGCAGGCAGCTTTGGCCCGCCCTTTCCCAACCGAATCGCACCAGGACGACAACGTGCCCGACCGCGACAACTTCAAGATACAGCTGACAGAGGAGGGCCGCGAGGCTGGATCGCCCCCCCCGCCTATGGAGGGAGGAGGAGGGGGAGGAGGAGAAGTTGGGGGAGAAGGAGGATGAGGATGAAGAGGAGGAGGAGGAGGAGACGGAGGATGAGAGGGAAGAGGAGGAGGAGGAGGACGAGTAAGAAGAGAAGGAAGGGGAGGAGAAGGAGGAGGAGGAGGAGGGGGACGTCGACGACGACGACGACGACGACGACGACGACGGCGGTACCCGCAAGGTCACCGACCTGCTCCTGCGCGTCCTCCTCCTCCTCCTCTTCCTCCTCCTCTTCCTTCCTCTTCCTTCGCCCCCGCCCGCACGATGTGGGAAGTATCGTTGGCTGTTCAGACCAAGGGGTACATGCACATGGCACGCCCCACATGTTTTCCAAGCCCTGGTTCTGCGCACGGGCTTGCCTATCGCAGGTCGGTTTGTGTGGCGGTCCATGTCTTCTTGGCGTCTGACTCTCTTCTCTCTTGCCCTCCCTCGCTCCTCTTTCTCCTTCTCCTCCCCCTCCTCCTCCTCCTCCTCCTCTTCCTGCCCTTCCCCCTCCCCCTCCCCCTTCCCTTTCTCTCTCCTACCATGGCTTTTGAAGCAGCGGCGTTTTTGTAGCGCGAGCTGTTTGCATATCCTGACTGAGTACTTACAGTAAAGTGTCCGGTCGTGTTTGGCCTTTCGCACGGGCCCAGCCTACAGTCCCGGTTCTTGCGGCAAAAGGATATGATGGCGATGATGATGATGATGATGATGATGATGATGATGATGATGATGATGATGATGATGATGATGATGATGATGATGATGATGATGATGATGACGATGATGATGATGATGATGATGATGATGATGATGTTGATTATGATGATGATAATGTTGATGCTGATGCTGATGCTGATGATGATGATGGTGATGTTTATGTTGATTTTGATGTTGATGTCGATGACGATGATGATAATGTTGTTGATGGTGATGGTGATGATGGCGATGATGGCGATGATGCTGATGATGATGATCATGATCAGGATGATGATGATGATGCTGATGAGCATCATCATCATCATGATCATGGTTATCATGATGATCATGATGATCATGATGATGATGATCATCATGATGAGCGCAGCGCTGTGTCGATAGCCGCAGTTTGAAAGGAATCGCCATCCATCCGTGTACCTGATGGAAGCTTTTAATACGAATGCGCGTGGTGCAAAAACGAGAGCCACATTTTTGAATTCCGCCCCCTGCATCCATGCGCTTGTTTGAACCGTATGAGGCGAATGTACGCGGCGGAAAGGCGAGAGCCCCATGTTTCCCCCACCATTCAATGTTGGGTCATTCCACGCTTCGGGGTCATAAGCGGGGAGGGGGTCTCAGGCGAAACGCCCGGCGCGCCCTGCCGACACGTCTGGTGGTCGTCGAGGAGGAGTTTGTTTGTAAGGAACACGATGGAGGAGGGAGAGGAGGAAAAGGAATGGACGGAGTGTGAGGACCTCTCCCTTCAGCAGAGGGGAGAGGAAGTGGAGGAGGAGAATAAGGCGACCCTCGATGGAAGAAGTGGAGGAGGAAGAGGAGGAGGGGGAGGGAATGGGGAGGGGGGGTCCTCGAATTCCTCCTCCCTGGTAGGAGGGGTGGGCGGACTAGGTTTTCGGCGGTCGCTTTTTTCACAAGTGATCCCGCAACTTTCAAAGGCTACCCTTGCATCCTTCCCCTTCGGCCCATCCTTGGCCGCTTTCGCTGGCCGCGCACCGCTCGCAAAGTGTCGACATGGCCTTCCAGGGCCCTTGCATCCTTATCGTGCGTGCTTGCCATACGGGTCGACTATAGCCTGGCGACAAGCCCAACCTTGTGCAGGTGAGTGTCGCGTAGGGCGTGGCCCACGCATTTTGCACTGCGCGCAGCGGAGGGGCAGAGCTCGGGGCGGCGCAGACGGGGGGAATGCAGACCAGGCCCGCAGGGGCGCACTGAGCTTCCTGCGGGGCACGATCCGTACGATGGGTACGCCGCCTTGGGAGGAGAGCGACATGCGAGGTCCTCCTCTCGGGCCGTTGGTGGAGCCCCGTCTATCGGCCACGATTCGTGCGAGGGATACGCCGGAATGGGTGGGTGTGCAGCATTAGAGTTCCTTCCTTGGTGTCGCAGTCCTCTGAGGTAGGCCCTGGAGGACCCAAGAGGACCTCCAGAGTCGACTCCAGAGGCCTCCCGAAGCCCACAAAGCTCCCAAGCTCCGAGATACCTCAGTTCCCCCACGCCCCACGCGCCAAGCTCGATGTTTCGATGGTTTTGCTATGGAGAGGGTGACGTCCCTACGCCAAAAATCAAGGACGTCCTGGGGTCGCAGGGTTCGGTTTCTTTTGGAAGGCTTCATGTGATCGAGCCCCCTATAGCAGCAGCAGCAGCAGCAGCAGCAACATCAACATAACGTTTGGAGCTCGGCGCGGATTTCGAACAGTTCCTTGGCATCGCTCGGGGACGTGTGCATCTTTTTTCTCGGCGAGGACCATTGTGAAGCATGCTGGAGCGTCTAGCGGAACACACACACACACACACACACGCGCGCGCGCGCACGCACGCACGCACGCACGCACGCACGCACGCACGCACGCACGCACGCACGCACACACACACACACACACACACACACACACACACACACAACCACACACACGCACGCGCACGCGCACGCGCACGCGCCGCGCACGCGCACGCGCACGCGCACGCGCACGCGCACGCGCACGCGCACGCGCACGCGCGCGCACGCACGCACACGCGCACACCCACACGTTCCCACACCCACACACACACATACACACCTACACACATACAGATATACACAACTATTTACCTATATATATATGTGTATACGTATATATATACATATATATATATATATATATATATATATATATATATATTCTCGCCCACACAGGCAACACACAAACAACACGCATACACACACGGACACACAAACACACACACACACACACTAAAGGCGTAGACGTCCGAGCGATGGCAAGGTTCATAGGTTTCCCGCTTGTTGCTCCTCCCCTGGTCCCCTCCTCTCCAAAAAATCCCTCCCACCCACACTTCCCACATCCCTCCTCGAGGGCATGGCCGCGGTGCAGCGCTGCCTGCGCGCGCGGGGCGCCCGCTTCGACGCGGTGCTCTGCTCGCCGTTCCTGAGGCCGCCTTCCTGCCGCTGCTATCCCAGAGGAACAGGGGGAGGTAGAGGAGGGTGAGGACGAGAAGGTAGAGGAGGAGCAGGAGGAGGAGCGGGAGGAGGAGCCCGTAGCCATTTTGGCTCAAGGCTAAACGTTGTGAAGGGCTATAGGCGCCCGAGAATCAGCGATTAGCTTTGTCCCCTCCGGAGTCATCTCGCGAGGTCGCCAGGCGACCCGCCTCCAGGGGGCACCATTCCGCTGTTGCCCGCCGCTGCGATCTCGCCCGAGCCCAGCGGCTTCCCCACCTCGCTTGAGGGTGCCACATCGTGGCGAAGCGAGCACCAGGCATGGCCAGCCGCCCCCAGACGCAGGGCGCTGACATGGCTGATGTGGGTACTGTGGCTACTCCTCTTCGTACCATGCGAGGTGCTGCCGACGCTGAACTCAGCGAGTGCCACGAGCATGAGCAGAGCACCGACCTGCGCTCCTACATCGACCAGGTCAAGATCAGCTTCGTCACCGAGCTCGGCGAGGTTAAGCCCAGGTCAACGCAGCGCTGGGAGAGACGACCAACCGTGTGGTATCCACCTGCGGAGGTCTGGCCGCCCAGGTGGAGAAAAGGATCGCGCCGCTGGAGCACCAGGTCCGATCCCGGGGCCAGAAGATCGACGACATCGCGGAGGACATCAAGAAGATCAAGGGGGAGTTGCGCATGGCGAAGAGCGCTGTGCCTGCCCCGCCGCCCACGCCGGTGGGCTCCAATTTCAACAGGGAAACCGACCCGACGATCTCATCATGCGGGCGCAGACTGTTGTCACGAGAGAGATGGTCAACATGGCAATGCGGCCATGGATGGAGCAGGCCAACGTCGAGGACACACAGTGGGAGGTGCAAGGCGAACCTACGGGGCGCAGGTTTCTGCTCAAGATCAAGGGTGCCGCCAACTACGCGAGCCGCGTGGTCAACCAAGCCGTGGGGCGACTCAAGCCGTCGACGCCACATGCGGAATGGCGTCGCTTTTACACGCAGCCGGTCGACGCGCAGAGGGTGGAGCTGTTCGTGGGGGTGGACAAGTCCCCGTTCCAGATCAAGCGCGAGTTGGCGCGCAAGAAAGCACGACAGGTCTTCGCCTCACACTTTGCGAACCAGAAGATCTTCATCAACAAAGACAATGGGGCGCTGTCTTGAAATTGGAAGGAGCTGCTGGAGATCCCCCCCTCTCCCACCGAGGATATCGCCAACCTCCGCTGGAAGCGGGCCAACTTGAAGGGCCAGGGCTTCGACGCGGACGCCATCGCCCCCGCGGTGCAGGCCGCGTTGTCGGGAGGGGAGGACAGTGACCAGTGGTGTATTTAGCACTTTGCACCAGCTGTGGAGCGGACAAAGACGCTCGACAGTGCCGATCCGAATTGCGACTTGGAACGCTAGGGCTTTATTCTTCCGTAAGACGTCGACACGCTTGAAGAAGCTTCGACTCTTATGCGATCTTTTACAACGGGGTGCGATAGTAGCTGTTCAGGAGACGCGCGGCTCCGAGTCTGACCTGCGTGATTTCGTGCACCACGCGCATCTGCCTTTCCAGTTTACCTCCTCTTTCGTGCCTCCCAGCCCCACCTCCCGCCGAACTGGAGGCGTTGCGACGTTCTTTCCCGTTTTCCAGAGGTCTGAGGTACGGCAGCAGATGTTCGGATCTCCCTTCCCTCTCATCTCCTCCACTCCGTTAGTTCCTGGGCGAGTTCTACAAGACGGTCATTCGTGGGTCCCCCACTTCAACGTACACAGTAATCAGGAGCTCAACTTGCAGGAGAGGCTCCTAGTCTCTCGCCGTATACAGGAGGAGACGGTGGCCGGCCGTATTCGTCCTAATCAGCGTCTCGTCCTGGTGGTGGGCGACTGTGACTTCGGTCGCATCCCTCCTCATCCTCTTGATCAAGCGGACCCTCTCGAGCGAGATCCCCAATCTGCTGCCCTACCTCATGCCTTGCGCTAGGACCGCTGGTGGAGTTCCAACTTGAGGTCCCGACCCACTACCGCCCTGGGACGAAAATGGTTTCATGCATCGACAGAGCTTTTACTTCCGCCCCCGGCTGGGTTCTCAACCGACGTTCGACGGGGGGCCCGGTTCCCCGCGACCCAGAGGCCCTGCAGGCCCTAGGACTTTCAGACCACTCGCCAGTCTGCGCGCGCACGCAGGCGAGGGGCCCCGCGCCGCTCGACCAGCGGCCGATCCCCAATATGATTTTCCAGACGAGGGAGTTTAAATGCTTCTTACAGCGCGCCTGGGAGACCGCCCCTCTGATGAGTGGATGAGTCAGCCGTTGCGTCGCCACTACTTCAAGAATATGATGATCGAAGCCGCTCGACGCGCTCGAAACTGCATCAGCCGGCCGAGACCTGACAACCTCACAGCGGAAGACATCGTGATTCGGAGCATAGCTAGGGCGGTCTTCCAGAACAACTTTCGCTTGGCCCAGAAGCTTCACAGCTCGCACTGGCTTGCGCGTGAGCGCTTGTCCGTGGACCACGACTCGAAGAGAATCTCCCTCGTCTCCCAACGCCCTCCACGGGCAGGTTGCGGCCTCCGCGAGGTCTGAGATCCGCGCCAGGACCCGGGGCGAATCCAACGCGCACCGGCGCCCCCGTCTCCTGGAACAACAAAAGCGCATGATCGAGGTTCAGCAGTTGTGGCCCCCGTTCGACAAGCGCATGCATTTAGCTGGCGTTAGGTCTCCCAGCGGCGCGATCGCCCGGGACCCCAGGCAGATGCTCGGGGAGTTGGGAAGACACTGGGGAGAGGTCTTTACCGCCAGGCTGTTTGCCTCGCACGCGGCCGCCGAGCTTTTGAACGCGCGCGCGCCGAAGCCCCCAAAGGTTGCCATCCCACCGCCGAGCAAACGCGCGATTGAGCCCATCCTGGACTGCGCCCTCCCCCCGGCCCCTGGCCCCGATAACCCCCCGCATGAGGCCTGGAAAGCGGCCCCTGGTGGGGCCGAGGTTGCGCGACAGCGTGCTGTGGGTGCCCGGCGGTTTTTCGCCCAGCTACGACTTTAACCGCATGCTAGGGGCATTCGCTCCCAATGGCTCTGAGGACGACGACGGGAACGGGGCGGTTCGGCAGGCGGGGGGCACTAGGCCCTTGGGGCTCAAGAGCGCCGACAACAAAATAATCACTTCGGCCTTTTGTTTTGGCCTTAATCGGTTGGCCCCTTCGGGTCTTGATGAGATCCAGAGAGGGTTCGTGGCGGGGCGGAACTTTGGAGACAGCGTCATTGACTTTGATGTCCATGCCAGAGCCTGTAGCATGAGCGACCCCACTCTGCGGCCGATCCTGGTCGGGTACGACTTCGGCCAGGCGTTCCCCTCGATGTCGCAAGAGTGGCTGATGGCAGTTGTCGGCGCGCTCCCGACCCCGGAGGCGCTGCAGCAATTTTTCAAACTTCTGTATACGGATGTAGTTTGCTCGGGGCGGGTTAACGACGCATCCATGGCCCTTTCTCTGATTGCCGGCGGGATTATCCGGATGTGGCCTCATCTTTGCTCTTGGAATGGGCATTTGGTTTGCGGCGCTTTCGGGAAGTTGCTGGCGAGCCGAAAAGGGGAATTTCCGGGGCCTGCGCCGACGACATGGGCATGGCCTTGCGTCGTCTCCTTCACCTCAAAGAAGTCTTCCGAGTATTTGAGTTAGCCAAGATGATCGCCCACCTGAAAATCAAAGCTGCGAGGTGCAAGCTCGTTCCTGTCGGACCGACAGCGCAGACGGCCACGCGCGCAAACCCGAACCCCTGGAGACGGATCGAGAGACGGATAAGAGTGGCTGATGGAGAACATACCTGAGTGGAAGGACTTGGATATTGGGGGAGAGCTGGGTTATCTTGGGGCGCCCCTGGGCCCGAACGTGCACCCGGAGGGCCCCTGGAAGAAGCCGATCGAGAAATGGTGGGTGCGATCGCTAGACCTTGGAAGACAGAAGTGCAGCCCCGAGATTGCAGCAGGACTCTATCGCTCCAGATGCTTGAGTGTGCTATCGTATGTGGCGCAGTTCTCTCTTCCCCCCGACGCCCTTCGACATTGCGAATATCGCCTCTTCCACACCCTCTTCCACATGCCTTACCGTGCGATCCCGAATGCCGACTGGCACAACCTTTTTCGGTGGGGAGGCCCCCCGCACTGATGCAGTCGGGGCCCTGAAAATGGGACCCTTTTCGTTGGGGAGGGGCTCCGTGTTCCTTGATAGTTTCGCAGCTTGCCTTAGGTTGTGTTCCTTAGGTGAACGCCCCGACTGTAGTGTTCAAGCCATGTGCCACGCTGCGCTGATGAGAGCAGCGACCTGCACATTTACCTCGTGGAGAGAAGGAATGGAGTTCCTATATGAGACCGCAGAAGCGGAGATGGGGCTAATATATACTGCACAAGAACACCCTTGGCCCGACCATTGGAAGAGCCCCCCGCATGCCGCCTACCTCAAGAGAGCCTCTGCAGGATTCCAAGATGACCCTCGTCTTGCCGGGGCGGGCGCTGGCGCCCTCCGAGCCCTCCAAGCCGCCCAAGAAAGAGACCCTCACAAATCCGCCAAACAGCTCAACATATAAAAGGTATTCCCCTCTTCCCTCGCCCTGTGCCCCTACCCCGACAACCTCGCCAACGCGTTCCAGAGACACCTTCTTCGTTGGAAACCTGAGGCTCAGTCACTCAGCATGACCATCGATTGGGAGAAAATGAGAATATCCCTCCTTCCCCTTCCGCCCTCCTGGCGCTCTGCCGTCCTCAAGACCTTAGGGGGGGGGGGGGGGCGTGGTGCGCTGCGAAGAGGTTCCAGCAGTCTGCTGACTGCCTGTTTGGTTGCCCTGGGGCCGTGGACTCTTTTGCCCACTACTGGTCCTGTCCCCTTTTCTCGTGGTTCCCTGAAACCTTGCTGGGCCGTCTCGTCGATGGCGAGCCGATTTCGAGGCTCGGAGTTTTGGGCCCGTCGGAAGACACATTCAGTGTAGTAGCTTGCGTCTTTTACTTGTCTCGTGAGTTGCACCCCCCCCCCGACCGACCAGGATGGACACCTGTCCTTACAGCGGGCGAGGTCTGTCCTTCCAGTGGTCAGGCATCAAGTTGCCAGGCCGAAGTGCTGTGCATGGCGAAGCACTTCGAGGACCCCGCGGCTACGATCGAGGAGCAGGAGGAGGGGGAGTATACTATACATCAGAACGGGAAGGAGGGGAGGCGAGGGATTCAAATGGGGGATTCTCTACTTGAGTAGCCATCCAGGCGGCGCAGAGGGGGCAGCAGCCACGGCGAGAGTCAAACGCCCAAGCCGTCATCGCTGGCCTCCGTGTCAGATCAGGACTGTCAGCGCCGCCAACCCGCGAGTCGCGCTCCACGGCTCGCGGCCCACTAGCGTCAGGAGATGCCCCCGCAGACCCCCGAGGACAGCCCAAGAGGGCCCCCGGAGAGCCCCCCATGGGGGCCCCAAGAGGCACCCGAAATACGCACACAACCACAAGACGGGCTTGGACGCCGAACCCTTGTTTTTTGAATGTGTGTTTTTGTTCGGGGGGGCCACAGGTCTGTCAGGGCGGCTGCGCTTTCTTCCATTGCAACAGCCATCTTTGTTTGATGCACTCAGGAGGTGCGAGGCGTGGAGTTCAACAACAAAAAACCTTTTCCTGGGACACCGCCAGGGGCCACTCGGGCGCCCTGGGTGGCGCGGCCTGGATCCGCTCTCCCGATGCGGCCCCCCCAACCCAAACGCACAGCGCCGCGCCCCGACGGGCCAGCGAGGAGGGCGCCGCAAGGACCCGGGACCGCGTGGGCAGCAGGCTGTGTAAGCAGGGAAGTCGTATCAGTCTCATTTCGGCGGCAAGCCCTGGGGAGAAGTGAGAAGGGGCGGGCCTTCTCAGAAGGTTCGGAAGTCCCCCGGCCGTGTGACAAATTTTCTAAGTCCTCCCCGAAGACGCAGGAAATTGATCAGAAGGCCGGAGGCCTTCTGAGAAGCCCCACCGCCTTCTGAGAAGGCCTCCTCCTTCTCACACTCCCCCCCCCCTCGCTCGCCGCCGATCATCACTACCAAGCGCCCCTCACGCGCAGGTCGCCCCACCGCTCATCTCCCAGGCGGGCGATCCACATCCGACAGCAGGCCGAGTGCGCACAGCATGGCCAGCTGCGCTTCCGACCAGTGCAGTTTTCAGCTGGAGGCCGCGTGGCCGAAAACCGTGTTTTGGCCTCGGGCTCATTCTCGGCGAGCGCTTTCAAGGCCAACCTGGTCTGCCCTTCCTCGGTAGCTGTCGGGCCAGGGCGCAGCTTCTCCACTCGTCCTCTCAGTGGCGCGGGCTGCGAGAGCGCCTTGTCCATCTCGTTGCGCGAGCTTGGACTTGCACTGCGTTTGATTCCTGGCCCACCATGATGCGGTCCTCGTGTCGTGCTCCTTCACGCCGACCTAACCGTTCCCCGAATTTGCGGTGTCGTGGCGCTTGAGCTCCAGGACTTGCATGAGGCCCATCCCCATGGCCCCGGACAGGGTCGAGCCCCCCCCCGTGGCGGACTCCGATGTCATGCCGTGGACATGTTTGGTCTCGGCCTGGGATTTCACCCAGGCCGTGTCCGCGATCATTTCCAGAGCGGTGGTTCGAGAGGGAGGAGACGGATTCAGAAGGAACAGTCGCAACGGAAACGTCTGCGTACTCGTCCCTCGCCGACTCGCCTTCAAGAGGGCCAGGAGGCGAAGGACGAGGAGGAGGAAGGTAAATAATCTTCATCGGAATCCAGGAACGCGCATGCGCATTTGAATCTCGACTGTGTGG